GGTAGCGTTGGAGATGCAAGTCCTACTTCGATGTCTCAGGAGGATACTGTAGGCATTAGGAGTCCGTGATAAGGAATTCCTTTCCCGCCCATCGACCTGGAAATTTTGCTCATTTCTTGCCTTTCCGAAATGGAAGTATCGCTCATCCTGGTTGTTCCAGACCTACATTGGGCAAAACTGGGAGGGATAAGAGCAGAGCCACGGTTTCATGTCCTGTGAATTGTGGGTCATGTGGTTGGGTGATTCTCACCTGCAAATCCGAGATTGGCAGGCTGTTATGCAGTGAGATGACTAAACGCTTTTTGGACTCAGGCCTATAGGCAATCTTACCCGCTTGCTTCAGATCAGCTGGGAAACTTTGAGGTTTTATCTCCAATGGACTATTCTACAGCGTCCACTGTATAGTAAGTCTGTCGACACTTGTTACTCCCCTCCCACATACCAACACAGGGGACGAATGGAGACCAGATTTCGGGATAGGTACATCTTCAAAGGAGTATTCTATACCTTTCAATGTATGGTTTGCTTCGGTTCTAATTCTGTGACAAAAGTACAGTCCAGGCTCCTGTGCAACAACGGGCTGCGAGAGCGGCGAGGAACAGAAAGAAAGAGACTGTATGGACAATTCGACACAAGGATACGCGCCATATCCGGAAAATTCTTTCGCCTCATCCAGTCTCCACTAATCTGTCCAAACTATCTCTTTCTATGAAAGAAATAAAATCTTAAATACCTGGCTGGTCCTTTGAAGGGCCAATTCTTCAGGACCTTAGAAAAGCCCAATCGCATGGGTCTATAAAGATTGCTCTTCAGATTATCTTAGGGGAAGGAAGCTAGCCAAGTAGATGACCATCAGTTGTGTTCGTTGCGGTAAATGATTAACCCATTCGTGACAATGTCCGCCACTGGTGGTGGACACCAATGTCCACTTCGGACTTGATGGGCTTTTGATGAAATTTTTTTTAGAAACAGTCCGAGTTCTTCGAGAAACTTTCCCCAGTGGTACAAGTCTTCATACCGTTCTTAATTTATGCAAATAGTGGACCAGCGCGATCTTCAGATATAAGGGTCCCAGGCACGATTCAACTAGCAGCGCCTGAGCCCAAAACCTCTAGAAGAATTTCTGCTGAAAAAAATGCCGGTAGGGCGTTTAACTTCAATCCCTGATCAGGTATGTTACGTCCGTTTTGCGCCGTGGTTTGACTCCATTTGGCACCGTTAGGCGCCTATTTGGCGCCACCACTTTTTTCAACAAAACGGGGGCGCCAGAATGGTGCCGCACACCACTCACCTCTACCTTTTTCCACCAAACTTCAGGAAAAGCCCTTACATATGTAGCTTTGTATTTGGGTCTTAGGTCACGAATATGACGTTCACTACAGGTCCCAGCGCCAACTGGCGCCAATGGGCGCCAGTTTGGTGCTGTCACCTCTTCCACCCAAATTGATGGGAACTTGGATAGAACTTGGATAGGTTATCGCTGCCCTTATTATTGATACGACATTTCATTATTTAGTAGGAACGTTAGCGTAGGCACAAGGTTATCAGTGCGATTGCTGAGGCTAGCCTGTCATTAAAGACAGCTTACCGCGATAAAAAAGGTGCGCAAGATTAATTGCGATCAATTATGCAAACAGCTAGCTGGTAAGCAATCTTCCATCAATGAGGGAAAACAAGCAACAAGAAGCTCTCAAGAACAACACAAACGAAATTGCTCCCTCACAGTTACACCGCCCTGCGATCTGTGGGAAACCCCTGGCTCAAAAATCTCTTTATCACATCTCTCAGTAGTGGATATCATCCAATGCAATGAAAAGAATACGAAAACAATAAAAACTCGGGAAGGAAAACTCCTGAAAGGGTAAAAAAAACTTTCAAAGACACGCGCGCTCCGAATTTTGGCACGTTTTACCAGTTAGCGAGCGGCTTTTAGTGCATGTGCTAGGCGAGTTTTGCACCACGAATAATTGTCATCAGTCGCTAGATTCTATGCGTTTTACCTTACGAGATGGTTGCATTTGACTGTATGTGCTCTCAATGAATGAAATGTGATAAAGGAGAGCAGAGTTATCTAAGGGCACCATCGCGGTCTGCAAAAATGACTTGCAATCCCGAGTATTGCCCGCCGTCCCAACAAAGAGCAACTGAACGGCTCTCCCGTCAAGAGCAGCTTGCAAGTGAGGCGCGTTACCAACTGAGCGGAAGCGTGAGAGCAAGAACTTTGGCGGTTGCTAAGCTCGCTTCTCGCTCACTGTGGAGTTGCGAGAGTGGGATAGCATCTAGCTTGGGGGCTGAACTACCTGTACAAGGAAGGACGACCATGGACTACTCGAGCGCGGGGCTGTCTTTGAAAGGAGGGAAACACTCCTCCTCCAAGCTACAGACTTTTCAGAGCGCTACATGGCGCTCATGCCCCCCCCCCCCCCGATTGAGCTCGAATGCAGAACAGCTGCGACTTTAGCGAAAAAAGGCGACGGCGAGTGCAGGTGGATCCTAGCGCCGAATAGCGCCGGTGAAAAACTATAGGCACTGTCAACCCTTTACTGCCTCAGACATCCGGAACCAAGCCAACTTTCGACCAACTTTCTTTCTATGTGGACAGACTTGGCTTAGCAGTCGTTTCCTGAGTTGGTTTGACCTTTTGAACACGAGTACCACTTTCGCTCGGCTCAAAACCTTGCCACCAGGAGGTTTTGAGCCACCTCAATATGTCAAATCACCTCAATATGCAAGCTTACACGGGTTTTCGAGGGAAAGACTATAGCACTAAATTAGCGCACATTGGCGCCAAATGGCACCGGAGGACAGACGAATGTCATTTTTGTGACCTGAGGAATAACCCCTGCACTCGATGGTTCAGTAAAAAAGGAGATTTCGGGAGCAGAAAGTTGAACAGTGCTAAAATTTTTCAGTAAGGGGTCACGAGGGACCGTGTCCACCACTGGTGGCGGACACTTGCTGAGAGCTCGCAAATGCTCCGGTCCGAACGAGCCGTTTTCGAAAAACGCGCCTGGTCGCGAATGGGTTAATAATATCATATGTATATAGCGCTGATTTTTGTCTTGTTTCATTGCAGGGGCAGCTGTTTAGCACTGCGCGGTTTTTCGTGGTATCGAAGATGACTTCTCCTCCCCTCCCCTAACCCCTTAGCGAAAAAATGTGATCACCCTCGCTGGTGATACCCAGCATACGACGCGCCCCGTCTGGAGAGCTCCGTTTGCATCCATATCAGGACACATTTCTCGTCCGTTAGCCTGCATGCACACCATACACTTGGCTAACTGCTTTTTCAGAGATTTCGATGACTTGATGAATTGTCTTCGACTCGTCTCCTTCGACTGCATCTCAATCCCAGTATTTGAACGGTTTACGCACTGGTACGGCAAGGTGAACGAAGAGGCGGTTGCATACGTACAGAATCATGCATTTTTCGAATACGCTTGTGGAATTGGCAAACCAGGTAATGAAAGCGCCCGCGTCTCTCTGTTAGAGTTTACCCTTAACTACGTCTTCGGAGCACACGCGAGACTTCTCACAACAGAAATTAGAGAGAAGAAAAATAGATAAGAATAAGGTTGCCTCGTGTTTTGTTAGCATGAGACGGAGGTCGCGGTGCTGTGGCTAGTGGTACACTCACCACGCGTGCGGCCCAGTGGTCAAATCTCAAACCGTTTCCTTAGGCCATCTAGAAGTCTACCCTCCGGGACAGTAAATTGGTGCCAGATTCGTGTGGGAGGATAGCACTGACTTATTTATTTATTTATTTATTTATTCATACACTGCGAGAGTGTGCTGTTACAAACATTGAACAACAAATAACCGTTTAAATAACAATTGAGGAACATGGGAGAATATCCCAGAACTTTTTTTGCAATAATCATGAACTGCTTACTTGATTCGAAAGGGGTAGAATGGTATTTAGATCATTGAAACAATATGTGAACTGTTTGATCGATACTGCAACCAAGTCCACATGCCCTATTTCTTTGCAACAAAGGAAGTCCTGAGGAATAGACGTAAAGATCAGTCAGCATAGGGGATTGATCCTTCATTTAGAAGAAGGACATATGGAGTCAATAACGACTAATACCGTTGCGGTAGAGTGTGTGATTACAAATTCCCTCGTTCCAGTGCTACATATAGGAAAAGTCGGACACTGGGATCACAAGGGCATGCAAAAGCCCAAGTGGGTCCGACGAGTGGGTGAGTGGATAGCAGTAACGAATATAAGTGGAATTAGCAGGAATCATAGCTAGTGTTTTTGGAAAAATTTGGACAGGATCAATCTACCCAAGTCTGCATCAAGTCTGGTCAGAACATGGTGCCACAGTTAAAAAATGTCAGCAAAGCCAATAGTATGTAAAATGTCGATCTTCTCGATAGCTTTCTTGAACTGCCTTGAACTTTTGCCAGCCGCACATTGTACAGCTAGTACATTGGCTGTAGATTGGCTCGTACTAGACTTGTGCATTGGCTGACCCTGCAGGAACAGGGTTTAAATGCCACATTGAATTCAATCAGCCACTGCGATTCCGTATGGAGGTAGAATGCGTGCCGTAATCCCAAGTAAGTGATGCATCAACGGCGAAGACTTAGAATCTTAACCTTGAGCATAAGAAAGCTAGAACTGTGGGATATAGCGAGCATCTTGAGTGCCGTGGAAAGCCCTCGACCTTAGCACTAATAGCAGTATCATCTATTAACACTAGCTAATTAGGTAAAGAACAAAGCTTCTGCTGTTTATTGATCTCCTTATTGAGGATTCGGCACTCATTCTGCTTCCGTTCAGTCGTAGTGGCGTCTGAATGCAATGTGGCCTATCCAATAACGGGGAACAAAAGTTTTTCCTCCTAGATGAATCTGGTGGCAAATTACTGTCTCCGGAGGGTAGAAGGCTTGGGTTGTCCGAGCGGCAGACCATGCATCTAGGATATCAGACCCGAACACGTGGTAAGCGTGCCTATTGCCACTACGGCACCTCCGCTCAAGAAAATATATTGCATTGAACCCCTTAGTAAAAGTTGCTATTTCCTTTCTCGTTCTTCAGCATTCCTCGCCAACCACGACTGTCTTTCAAGAGCATTCACAACACAATCACTGACACAACGTATCAACCAATGTTTGCCAACCGATTCGGATATGTGCACGTAAGCTCCACATGAAATGTGTTCAAATCGAAAAATTTAAGAAACTTTCCAGAAGAGCAATGTCAGCTGTAGAATGTGTGAAAGACTCGCTGAGGGTGGAGTGTTCACCATCGGCTGGCTCGGCTGCTTGTGGAGCTGCGACGAACATCGCTCAAAGAGCCCAAGAAGTCGGTCCAATGTGTATTCAGGAGATGAATATCAGATGTTCCACATCGACGGCTTTCCTTTTGATCGCAATCATCCTCGCGACTCTGCAACACCTTACTGCTGTAGAAATGTTGTATGTTAATTGTTAAATTTGTGTATATTGGTACCAGAAAATAAAGTAATAATTGATGACGCTTTGAAATGGTCTCGTTAGGGACATAAATCGGTTCTCAGTGAAAGCAGCATACGCGAGAAGGAGGGTGCTAGGACACATCATTGGTGATTTTGGCTGTATTGTACGATCCCCCCCCCCTTAATAGGTTGCTTGATACCTCCCCTCTCTAGTCCCCTCCTGCGGTACGTTCGAGCATCGAGCTATCGAGGAGGGGAGGGAGGGGGGGGGGAGTGAGGTGGTTTCAACAAGAAGGGGAAATTTTTCCCACCGTCGCGAATTTTTACCGGAAAGCTGCTGCCGTGGACTGTGAATAAGCTACAAGATTGCACACCCCATTCACCCCTTCACCACCTTCACCACTGTGATTAGGATCCCAGCAGAGTGAGCTGCATCCTAGACATTCCCATGGCTTTTGTATCTCATACTACTTTTTCAGCAGTGCATCCCCTTCGTCAACCTTCGGAACCCCTACGAGTCTACAGTTCACGTAATTCTGAATACCTATTATCAGAAAACGAATAATTTCCATAGAAGAAGGGGATGAGACTAAATGAAAAAGTAATAGGAGCAGCGTCAAGTTATTTCCGCTGAAACAATTAAAATGCTCCTATTTTTTAGGGAATA